AGATAGATAGATAGATAGATAGATAGATAGATAGATAGATAGATAGACAGACAGACAGATGATAGGTTAGCTAGATGCATATTTTGCATATCTTTGATTGAAAATTTCAGAGACTTGAAATCAATGTTTATTTGCCTAAGTTTTAAAACATTATGATAATTTTGCAAGAAAAAAACCCAAAGACAATATTAAAGATTCTGGCTTGGGTCCCTGGGAACTATCCATTTTTTTGGGGGGGGGGGCGAAATTCCCACAGATCTTGGCTACATTGGCAAAGTTTGATGGTAACTTGAATCTTCCTGCTCCTAAGGCATGGCACCCTCTAGGAGCATATTGACCTTGTGGAAGCATGTTAGATTAGCAGATGTGCCAATTTGTGTCCAGTACAATTACAACAACTGAAATGGCTGTTGTGCCATTATACAGAATGGTGGCTCACTGACAAAGAGATAAGGTCACAGAAGACAGGATTAGTTGTGAAAGTGATATTGTCATCTGCTAGAAGGGTGGCGGGAAACCATCAACTGTTCACACAGGGCATTTTGTATGTTACCAAAAAAAAGTCCTCCTATAAAGTAGGCTTATGAGGGATATTCCCATGTTATGTTTTGGCCATCTTCCCTTGAGTTCTCTCCATCCTGCTATGAACAGGCAGTTCTCCAATCTCATTTTTACAGCAATAGAGGCAATCCAAGATATAGAGACCCACAGTTTTGGATGTGTTTTTAATACTGAAAAAAAGATGGAAGTTTCATAGAAGAAGAAGCAGAGGTCATGGGTTGTGCACCATCTTGTTGAGTTTCTTTCAGAGTTGGCAACTTTAAGATGTGTGGACTTCAACTCCCAGAATTCCCCAGCTAGTGTGTTCCTCGAATGCCTCTTAAGCATGCCACCTGAGGAATTCTGGAAGTTGGTATACACACACCTTAAAGTTGTCAACTTTGAAAAACACTGCTGTAATTCAACTCCCTTGGATAAGGCAATTCCAGATCAAAAGCACACTCTTAAACCATGTGGTTCCTTTTTAAAATTACTTTTGTCATCAGCATATTTCTCCTAATGTTCCGTTTAAAGCAAGCACCCTGTGATTTAAAGCTGTTAGTTCCATTCCTGCTCTCTAGGACAACCAAGAAGGATTCTTAATCCTTTTCTAGGTAACAGCACCTCACGAGACTGATAGATGCTATCTGGCGTGAATTAAACATATTTCATTATTCCATGCTATTTGGTTAAAGTTTGAAGGAAGACGATGCATTCAACCTGAAAAATGTGAATAAGGGAAGCAGGAGCATCCAGACTGGGTGCTGTGCTCTAATCTGAAGCATCCTGCACTGATAATCAGTCCACTGATGATGTTACCCAGTTGGGTAATAAAACATCTGCAGGGAAACCACCAAGCTCAGAGAGCACCAAGGACCCTTCCTTTCAGCCCTGAGCTACAAACATTCTCCTTTATTGATTTGCTCTAATCTGGAAAGCTGCTTCCATTATATCCTACATCACACCACATTCTGTCGGCCATAGTTTTTGCAAAACTATCTATACAGCATATATTGGCCCAGGGAAGAAAGTCCTCGTATCTGCTCTGGAGGGACTTTATCACTGTACAGATAGTCCTCAATGTACGACCACAATTGAGCACAAAACTTATCTTGCTAAGTGAGACAGAAGTGTCTGAATTTTGATCCTATGACCATGGGGATGTTGCAATGGTTGCAATTGTGAAAAACGGTCATCAGTGACTTTTTTCGGTGCCGTTGTAACTTTGGTCACTAAACGAACCGATGTAAGTCGAGGACTACCTGTATTTCATTTTGTCAGTTTCAAGTCAAGCTTGGCACTCTTACTTCTCCGTGCAAATTCTATCTAGTACCTTTTGACAATGCCCAGGGAGCAACGTTTCCATCAAACAGCAAAATATCCCAAATTGCATAGAAGGATGGTGCTCAAATTTGCCCCAGCTGGCTTTAGCGTGGCTCTCGTGAAAATCAAGAATCAAGAAAACAAAAGAACAAAAAGTAATTGCCTTTCCACACGTAATACTGGTAATAGAAACAGCTCTAGAGGAGAAATCTGGTATAAATGGGCCAAAACATAATGTGTGAATATGAATTGCTTCTTGTGCAGTATGCTTTATATATGTACATGTATAAAGCATACTGCATGTTGTATGTTTTTGGTGAGCATTGTATGTTTTTGGTGAAATGCCTGTCTCTCAGGATTTTTTAAATATATTTTTTAATTACTGTATTTAAAAAGTCAAGATATGTTATAATTTTCTTGGGGAAGGAAAGCAAAGGAAGGAAGGAAGGAAGGAAGGAAGGAAGGAAGGAAGGAAGGAAG